TGTTTTTTTAAAATCTGTAGATTTCGGGAAATAAAGAAGGGGAACATCACGGAGCACAGGCAAAGTGTTAAGTAACGCACAGTGCCTATTACCCGGTAATAGTTCTGAGAAGTAGGTACATTTTTAAAGAAAAGAGCTGAAATCACAAAGCTGCAGAGACTGTTTGAAGGCGAGCACTAGCACTTATTTTGGCGGGGTGGGGGGGAACGAGGAGGCGTGGTTGTGTGGAATGATTAAATAAAATGCGACCCTGACATCAAAACTTCAGGTCTTGGAACAGATCCTCAAGAAAGAAATACCTTAGGCCTATAGAAAGCGTAAAAAGGCCCGAACACCATCTCCGCTTCAGACACAACACAGAAGGGTTAAGCCAAAGTCCAACTTTGATTTTCTACTTAATATAAACCAGGAGTACTAGCTGGAGTGGTATTTTTAAATGGGATTTTCTCCCCTGTTCCCCTCGCTTGAGAGCTTATTCTTGAACAAAGTCGTCCTAGAACCCAGGCTAGGGCCTGGCCGAGTTACACGGCCTAAAAATCCAGGCCACCCTCCCGCTTCCACACAACCCGAGCTCCCAACACCTGCTTCCCCGGCTCGGGTGAGCGGTTGCATCGAGTGACTCACCGGGAGACACGCTCCTCACAGCATCCGCTCTACATCAGCCTCAGGCGGCAAGTTTACAAAACAAAACCCCCGACCGCAGCGCAAATGAAGGGGAAAAAAAAACCCTGCCGAGTCCACCAACAGCACGCCGGGAAATACCGCATCTGTCCCACAGCGGGATCTGAAGCCAGTACCGCCATGACCCTTGTTGGCAACTAGCGTCTGCACTAACTGCTCACGGCCGCCATCTTAATTACTGGCAAATTCCAAGCCCCCAAACGTATCCTGTACAAAACCTGTCCCCTCTCGCTCATTTCCCTCTTTTAAAAGTCTGGAAATATTAAACCTATTTTATATTTTAGAAAATACTTGTTAATGCTCCCCTCCCCCTTGTTCTCTGCGTCACTAGAGACCATACTTTCCTGCTAATTCTGAAAATTGTGCTCAAAATATCCCAACAGATTCAAAACTCCCAACTCAAACAACTCCCGAATTTCGCCCCACGACCTGAAACTAGACAGAACTGTCACTTAGTTGCTGTATTTTTTAAATTTAGTAATCTGCAAGCCTGCCTTTGATGTGTTGACGAATGCCATAGCAGGTATGGTGGAAGACGTTCCTGCAAGCACCAATGCCAGTATGAACTGACACTACTGTTGATGCCTATACTAATCCTAGATCAGAATCTTCAGCCAGGAAAAGGAATACAGAAGATGAAAATAATTTACAGCTTGGACAGAAGTTCCTTGTTGTTTAAAAAAAAGGAGGTAGGAGCACTTCAGAAAAGGTTTACAGGTGTAATACATGGTATAGCAGCTTGTTTTAGGACGAAAGGTCAGGTCAGGTCAGACAGGCTAGGTTGGTGTCCACTGGAGTGCAGAGTAAGAAGCGACTGGATTGCAATATAAAAGATCCCGAGAAGCCTCAGGAGAGTAGGTGTGGAAAAGACATTTCCTCCTATGGGAGAATCTAGAAAAAGGAGTCATGATCTAAAACTAAAAGAAGTGTTGATCATTTAAAGCAGACCAGGTAAAAAAAAATTCTGAGTAGGGTACAAGCCTTTGGAATTCTGCTTCCGCAATATTTTCAGGAAGAGTGTCTTGGACTTTTTTTTTGAAAAAAAAAAGGCATAATTAGATTTTTGGTAAGTGAATGAAAAGTTATCAGGGATAGGCAGAAATACAGATTAGAGGTGACAACCGACATAAGGGATCAAATGGCCTATTCCTGGAACTGGTATGTACTATAGGTGTTGTTTATGATTTAATCTTGTGTAAATTACCACAAGCTACCTTTAATTCAGCTACTTATACAAAATTGTATAAATACTGAAAACAATTATTGGAATTTTATTGCACGTACCAACCAAATGAAGACCCTTCACGTAAGCAAGTTGAGCCTCACTATCCAACTTCGCTGTTATTACCAAATTAATGGTGGAATTTAGCTACAATTTCAACTAACAGCATCTGTCTCTGGCGGTGTCCTAGGTTCAATTTTTGTGCAGTGCTGTTCTTCAAAGTTCTGCTACTGAGTCCTGGAATTGAATTTTTTTTTATACAATTTTGTTTTGTCCTTCTAAATTATGGTGTGACATTATTGATGATCCTTTAGATGTTTTCATCGACAATAATGCAAGTCTGCAGCTTGCCTTCTTGTCACATTTGTTCCTTGTTACATTTGGCATTGACTGGCTGTTTGAAGACAGCCTTCCTGTGATTAACTCCTTAAATTCTACTGCAAGCCAATCATTTGTTCTTGTGACATAAGGCAGCTTGTTATCAAGCAGATGTTAAAACAGTTTTATACATGTAGCTTTGACCCCTTTTTCCTAGCATGGCTGCTTGCTTTCAATTCCTGTACAACAATTTATCCTTGCCCCTTAGCAGTTTATTCCAGACAGAGTTATTGCTGATTCTTTCAGTCTACAAACAGTGATTTATGTAGTCAACATTATCACGGACAAAAAGTCATTGCTTCGCAGAGCGCCTCTGTTCAGTCCATAAGCATGACCCCCGAGCTTCCTGTTGCTGGTCATTTTAATCCTCCATCTTACTTACACGGTGAACTTTCTGTCCTCACAGTCTGCTACATTGTTCCAGTGAAGCCCAGCAGAAGTTTGAGAAATAGTACCTCACCTTTTGACTCAGCCCCCAAATTTAGATCATAATCCATCTCCATTTTGTTTCCTGAGATAACAAGGTGTAGAGCTGGATGAACACAAAGGCCAAGCAGCATCAGAGGAACAGGCAAGCTGACATGTCGGGTCTGGGACGTTTCATCCAGCTCTACACCTCGTTATCTCAGATTCTCCAGCATTAGTAGTTCCTACTATCTCTGAATCCATTTTGTTTCCTGTTGCTTTTGCTGGTTCAGTTTTTTTCATTTCTTCCTCAATTCTTTTACTTTGTATTTGGACAGTTGCTATCCACTCAGTCACACCACATCTGGTCACATCATTTCTTCACTTTTCCCACTCTAATGCCTTTCACTTTTAAACCAAGAAAGTTTTTGTTGTTTTGTCTCACTTTTCCTCCAACCCTATGGCAGGCCTTCCCTTTTGTTCTGCCTCCATCCCCACCTTCCCTTTCACTTGCACAGGACCTATTCAATTTTAATGTTTCATCTTTCCTCTCATGAATGGTTAATATCATTTTTTTAAAATTTATTCATGCATGGGATGTAGGCATCACTGGCTGGACCAACATTTGTTGCTAATCCAGGGTCACCCTCAAGGTGGCATTGGTAAGCCACCTTCTTGAACCACAACAGTCTGTGTGGTTAAAATACTTTTACAGTGCTGTTCAGAGGAAGTTCCGGATTACGCTGATGGAGCAACGACATTTCCAAGTCAGGATGGGGGGAGTGGCTTGGAGGAGAACTTGCCGCTGGTGGTGTTCCCACATATCTGGTACCCTCAACCCATGTTCTGCTTGGGCCACTCAGCTCCTGACTGCATTGCAGCCTTGGTCCAAACATGGCCAAAAACCTCCAGAGGGGAGGTGAGAGTGACAGCATTTAACGGTGTGCCATAGAGTCCTAGCAAAACTGGAATCAATGGAAATTGGGGAAAATACTATGTTGGTTGAAGTCATACCTGGCCCAGAAAGACAAGGGTTATGGTTGTTGGGAGGTCAGTCATCTCAGCTTCAGGACATCTCTGCAGAAATTCCTCAGGGTAGTGTACCAAACCTAACCATCTTCAGCTGCTTCATGAACGACTTTCCCTCCATCATAAGGTCAGAAACATATTCAGAACCATTCTTGACTCCTGAAACTGAAGCAGTCTGTATTGAAATGCAGCAAAACCTGGACTGATAAGTGGCAAGTAACATTCACAGCACAGAAAAAGCTAAACAAAGATTCTCTCTTGTTGGAGGTGATCAAACTATTCACCCTTGATGTTCAATGACATTTACCATCACTGAATCCCCCACTTTGAACATCCTTGGTGGTACTATCATTGATCAGAAACTGAACTGGTCTAACCTTAAATATAAAAGAGGGAGAAGCTCTTGTGGCACAATAGTGTCCCTAGCTCTGCGTCTGAAGACCTGGGCTCAAGTCCCAACTACTCCAGGAGATGTGTATTATCATCTGAACAGTGATTGGAAAACATCTATGAACACTGTGGTTACCAGGGCCAGCTAAAGTTTTGGAACATTTACTCACCATTTCCTCACGTAATGCCTTGTAAGTGGTGGACAGACATTAGGAAACTGATGGAATACTCTCCACTGCCCAGACATCCGCTCCAAGAACATTCAAGAGGCCAGGCAGACCACTTGATCAGCACTCCATCCACTACTTATTCCCTCCACCACTGACAGTGGTACTGAATTACTTCTTGAGCTGCTTCAATTCACTCAAGTACACTTAGTGGTAGGGTTTCAGGATTTTAACCAAACAACAGGAATTAGATTCTGCACTGGCAATAATTTGTTTTCACTGTCAGAGGTTGTTCAGCAGTAATTCTAACTATTACCAAGTCTGAATAGTGTACCTACACTATTAATGACAAGACTTAGCTTGCCACAGCAAGCTTTTGTTCAAATCTACCAAACATGCCCTCACACCATTTGATATTTTCAAATGCCAAGGCAAAAAGAGGAAAATGTCATTTTTGAAGGTTACAGTTCATGTGGAGCAGCTTCACATCATGGCTATTTTATATCTGAAAGCAGAGATTGAATCCTCTTTCCCAGAAATTGAGAGACTCTATACATTTCCAGCATTTTCTGGTTATTGCTCAGAGACCTCGCAAAAATGAAAGAGGGGTTTAACTCAGCATCAAATTGAAGGGAGAGAGTCAAGTCACTTTAATGATTTCCAGTAATTTCAAATCAGTGATTGGCACAAAACTATAAAAGAAAACATCTTTTTGCTAAACTAATTACATGTTTTGACCACATACCCATAACAGAAAACTGCCGACAATGTAGAAAGTCTTTATACTAAATATGGTATATTGTAATAGCTAACCAAAGCTCAAAAAAAAAATCAGGATTTTCCTTTTTTAACCAAAAGTAGGGACAGCACACCTCATCAGTAACCCATCCCAGATTTGAACATCCTCAACCATTATACAGATAACATGAGAAAATATGGATTGTCAACAGGCTCTCACCAGTTAACAGTTATAAAAAGAATTTGTCCACAAGTTCAGATATATAAAGTGTAACTGAATTGAATGCATCTCTGGCATATCACATTGAAGTTACATGGCCCACCTAGAAAGCTGCATTCAATCCCAAAGTCCAACATTGGCTCTCAATTTGTAACTTCACAGGGATCAACTACATTAAACAGCAAGCATCCAACCTGTATTTTTTTCCTGGTTCCACACAAGACGATAAAGAAAGTTAATACCGGTGTATCAAATAAAATTAAGTTGTGTGTTGGGCTCGTGCGCCAACCACAGTAACAGCATCTGAGCAAGATGACATTGACTACTGAAGGAAGTTGAAACTGTCACAGATCAGGACCAAATACTCTTCTGAAAATACCACGAAGGGTCATTAAATGGCACAAAGTAGTTAGAGCTCTCTATTAGATGCAAGCCAGGCCAGACCGCATGATGGCGTACAGTCCTAAGGCAAAGAATCAACTTCCATGCTTCTGCATCATCCATATGGAAGTTAGTAGGTATTTACGGAGAAAAAAATAATCAAGCATCATGGGGCACGACCAGAGGAACCATGGCAATTGCTTTATTGAAGAAGTTACTTTGTTGAGGAATCCTGCAACCACTGGTAGCAAACCACTTCACTGCCCTGGGGTTGCAGGCAGCAAGCAGCAAGAGAGAGAGAGATTTTGAGTCCTTGGAGAGAACAAAGCAACCAGGAGATAAATCTCTGCATGGATTGTATGGGGGTGGGGGTTGCGGTGTGTGGGAGGGACACTTGCTCTCCTCAACCTAAAATTAGATGCAGTGGAAAATAAAGTCAAAAATCAACAAAACAAACAAACAAATCATCCCTTTAATAGTCACTCCTGCCAACACCCCCCCTCCCCCCATTAACAAGATGTATTTCTGGTTTGCAAATATTCATCATTCAGGTACACAAACATTTCCAAGATATCCCCACCAGCTCAAGTGTCAGATTTTTACCAAACAATTCATTTTTCGTTTGATATGAACATTACATCATTAAAACATACTTGTCCTATCAAACACTCAAGTCAGGTACATAGTGTTAGATACAGAGTAAAGCGCCCTCTACACCATCCCCAAACACTCCCAGGACAGGGACAGCAAAGGGATTAAATACAAGTCAGTCAATGTTGCTTCTAATTTGTTCCAAGTACATCAGCTGACACTCCAGATGGGTTTCCTGCACCATACCCTCGTGCACAATGACAAGCCAATGGCATCTAAATGGGACAAGCCAGGTCAGGGACAGATTGTGTCTGGGTTCATGGTCTCCAGAAACTGGCAAAATATCTAATGTGGGACATGTTCAGCCAGCAGAAAGGTCTGAAAGACAATTTTAATCAAAATCTTCAAAATTTATTATGCTCCCATCAACTAAAAATTGTTTGAGCAAGAATTTCCAGAAGAAACATACAACGGAGGAGAACAAGATAGATCACCTGAGCTCAGTTTAAACTTCTAGGCTAGATCACCAATGGACAGATTATAGCAAGAGAACTGATATATTACTCCAGCTGGAAATCACTTCCCAGATGTTCAATTTCATCCAGAAAAAAGTCGACATCCTCCCGGCTGACCTGTGGACTAATCAGGACCTGTCGGAAGAAGTTCACTTTGGTTCCATGGTGCTGGTAACCCACCATCATGCTGCCTCGCTTCATCATTCGCTCCTTGATAAATGGAGCAACCTGAAAAACACAATGGTCAGAAGGTGAATGAGAAACAGACAAGTAAACAGGCACAGCCACCTTTTAAGAAATCTTTCCTTTTACCCAATGCTATGTTTGCATCTTTGGGTGGTAAGTTCCAGGGAGGTCATGCTTCCAAGTAGTCACCATCCAACTGCAAGTGGTTTGGCACAAGGAGTCTTCAACAGTGGTCTTTCGCCCACCTTCTTACTTATACTACAGCAGTCACTAGAGAATAGAGGTGCAATATCAAGTTAAATTTTGCTTTTAAGTGAAAAGATAAATGGACTGCGCACAAGATTGGGCGGGTCTCATTTTACTTCAGCTGAAACTAGGCCAAACGCCCAGTCTAACTTCTTTGTCAATTTCTTCATGGGGACTGCAAGACAGATTAGCTGTCTGAATCATGGATTTGTGACTCTCTACTATGTTATCAAAGTGATGAACAATTATAGTGACTGAGTATTGTGGGAATGATAGCAATTCCAGGGGTAGGATTATGGCGAGTGTCAGGGCCGCGGTGGGTTGTGCTCCTGATTGGCTTTTCTTTTTCCTCGTCAGAAAAGCACTCTTTTTACTTGCCTCCAATAGCTATGCCAAAACAATTCCATCACTCATTGTTCAGGATGGGTAGATTACAATTAGCTGCAAAAGACAATCCAGTACATCCTTACCTTTCCTAGGTTCTGCCAAAAGTTAGAACTCTGTTCTTTCCCTCGCAGGCTGGGCGGGATGTACCAGAAGCAAACATTGACATACTGAGGCTGCAAGAAAAGAGAAGTCTGTACTCATTAAAAGACTCCAACTTTCCCACCCTTAAAGCTGATCTTTTAAAATCAGATACTTCAAGATTAGCCACAAAAAAGCCAACAGACCCACTGTCCCCGCAAAAAAAAAGGAACAAAAAGTCAAGTCTGAATACAAGCCTGTGACATGGATAAACAAGCTGCTACACTGAAAGCACTGGGAAAGCAGTCTGAAATGGAAGCTCTGGGGAA